AATGAATGTGCAGACCGCTATCAACTTCACCGAAATTAATGTAATGCACCACAGCATTCTTAAATATAAAGAACTTAAAAATATTATCTCTAAACTTAACCGAAAAATACGAATTCCTTTTCATAATATAATTAAATACTACGAAGTGACGCACGCTGAAGTTACGATTAAAAATGAGACCTTATTATACACCATACACCTTATTTCCAAGCCTTATGATCCCTATCGTATATACCCCATACCAATTAATAATAAAATATCCGTTATAAATAATCCCTATCTTTTGAAATCAATAGACGATTTCTTTAACCTAAAGGAAAACTGCCACCAAATCGAGGATATATCTTTATGCCCCGGCAATCCGCTCAATAAAAACGAACCCTATATTCCACAAACAATTAATTTATCTAATCATTGTCCAATGATTTCAATTGAACACAAAGAAACTTCAGCTATCCAAATTAATGATACCTCTATTATAGTTATCCCGAATTCCCGAGAAAATATATAGTTTCGGTGCCCAAATCAACAAAGTGTCGAAATAATAAATAAAGCATCTTTAATTCTGCCGGCAGAGTGTAATGTTAAAATTGAAAATAATAATTAGGACTCCCAAAAAGGAGATATAATTAATTTAAGACTAAAATTTTCGTCGATAGCTATTAATGAAGAACTGGTGCAAAATATCGAACCACTATAGTTGAGAGAAATTAATATTAAAAATATAAAAGAAGACATGGAAAGTGCTCGAAACCTAGCAAATCACTCTCTAAAATACTTAACCTTGGTAAACTCTAGTATTTCAATTACTGTAATAGTTATTGTTATTATTACACTAATAGTAATTATTGCTGAAAAGACAACAAAATGTAAAGGTGGGCCTAGAACTAAAAACTCCCGAAAATCAACCTCAAACTTGAGGAGGGAGGAGTTATATGGCCACTTATGATGAGCATGTTTAATGTAGAATAATATCGCGAGATATATGCTTATTCAGCAACTGAAATTATATAAATTCGCGCACTATTCATAAGTCAGGCTTTAAGTCGCTTTGCGTTATTAATTATTGTGTTACTTGTATTTTAAATAAAAAATTGTTTTTAAAAATACGAGTTTCACATCAAAAACTACCGTAAATTTTTACCAATTTTTTTTTTAATTAAGCTAGATTGTTACTGCTACAAATTTCAAACTATCTAAAAAGTTTTCAATTTGAGAAAATTTTAAATTTTATTTGGAATGGTGCAGCAGCTTTAGTAATTTACTGGGAGATTTCAAATCAGGTATCGTTCCCACACTTTGGTAATTATTGTTATTATGCTTTGGGGACATTGCACGTACTTTCGTAGCCATATGAGAAATTTAACTCAACGAAATACTTTACAGCAACTAAAGTAAATGTTCAACTGACGGTCAATTAAAACTAACTACCAAGCCAATCAGGCAGATTTTTAAATAACTTGCGATTTTTATTTTGAGCCGAATAACTTTCCGCCAAACAGTCAGTAATAAGGTTTGGTCTAGATTTTAATTGAATTGCGAAGTTGTGCGCAACAAAAAAAATCAGTTTAGCAAAAACTCGTTGGCCAATTGGCAGAATTTAGAGGCGCACTTTGGAAGATTTAATTATGTTTCCAAACTAATGTCCCGTTTGCTAAGTCGTTAGAATATCAAATTGCAGTTGCTCTCCGCTGTGATTTTAATTGCATTCTGATTTAATTTTAAAGTCACGTTTTAATAAGTTGTGTCTGATGCGTCTTTTATTTAGCGATGGTCTCCAGTTTTTGATTTTCATGCTATAACTGTAGTACCAAGACTAAAAGTAATCGCAAATGGTAATGAAGAGATTGCTATAAACATAAACTGCGTACCGTGTTTTGTAGTTTCATTCATTTGTGGTCAGTTTTTAATTAATTTTATATCACATAGTATATTATTTTTTAAGTAAATCTTCATAGAAAGCTTGATTGTCAGTCTAAAAACTATTCATGGTAGTGTAAAAACGAAAAAGTTTCTACTGGAATAAAGATTTGTGTTCCCCTAAAAAAACGCATTTTGCAAAGAGTTATTACGTTTTAGTGTAAGTAAAACCTGTTAATAGAGTGCGCCATTATTATTTACAAGTGAGTAAGTGCGCAGAATGGTTGTGTGAATGGTTTCTTGCTGCTAAAATTGTTCATTATCATTGATGCGCGTTTATTAGGAGATATCAATTAGTTGCATAATTATATTTGGCTTAGAAGCCCCGAAGGAAAATCTGCAACTATTTGTCATTGATATCTTAAACAAATACTTTGAAGTGAAGTTAACACCTCAAAATATTAATAACGTCTATACTATTGGAAAGGGTGTAAAAAATAAACCAATCTTCAGATGTTTTTGAATTTAACAACAGTTTATATGACTGTCTTATAAACTGCTATAAAAATATTAACTTTCATATTCTGATACGGGAATAATATTTTAAAATCTGAATGTTACGTGCAAGAATATTTAAACGCACTGAGTGAACATCGTTTTAAATCGGCTATTAATAATATAATGAAATGACAAGGTGATGTTGAATCGCGGTATGAGAGTATAATATCCACTATTATTGAGAATCCTGTTACCGATCATTGCTTCATATAATATACTTCATATACTTTTTGCGAAGGAGTTAAACAGAAAAATATTACTCCAAATAAAATTTAGAAACTGAAACAAATCAAAATAAAAGAGAAACCCGTGGAAAATTCGGGCGCTCGTAAAATCCGTGAATCACAAAAACGAACTTTATCACAAAGTGAAGTTATTGCGGGCGCCTGAAAATATTAACAGTTACAAGAACTATCCCAATTTATTAAACACATTAACAAAACTATGTAAACAAAAGTACTACGGGGAAAAAAAATAAAATGACTGCTCTTCATTAAGAAAATACATAGCACAATTAAAACTTCTGACGGCCATACTGATTTAAAAGCAATTGTCAATAACTTTTGTAGCTTTTACTCAGGAATAGGTTAAAAACCAGCACTAAATATAAAATTACAACAAGGTTGGATAGGCCGACAAAAACCTGATACAGTACTGGAAAATTCATTTTATCTTTGAAAGATCACGGAAGAGGATGTACTAAGAACAATTAGTGGCTAGAATCGATGGCATTAGATCCGAAAACTTAAAGTTCGTCGGCGACTTGACTGAACAAATCGTCTTCTAAAGGAGTGTTTCCGGTAATTCTTAAAGAAGCTGTTATTATGTGCATCGAGTTACAGACCGATTTCAAGTTTTACGAAAATAGTTGAAAGAATATTAAAACAGAAGTAGTGGATTACTTGGAAAATTATAAAATTTTGTATAAAAATCATTATGGTTTCAGAGAGGTCGACAGAGGATGCAGCTGAATAAACAAATGTATAGACAAAAAACTCCATCACTGTGTATATCTCCTGACCTGTCTAAAGCATTCGACACAGTCGACCACGCACAACTTTTAGCTGATCTGCACGATAGTGGCTTTAGAGGCATTTCATACCAGTTATTACAAAGTTACTGAAATAATCGAAAACAATGTGTACAAGTTTATAATGTTACGAGCGAATTTCAATTGATAAAATATGGAGTGACTCAAGGAAGCGTACTCGGCCCTATACTCTTTAATATACACATTAACGGGCTTTTCACGTTGTGAGTTTTACTGATGACAGCGCAGTAATTTATAGAGCAGAAAACTGGACAAAATTTAGGTTTATCACTGAATTGTATTGAGTTAGTCTGATAGTGACAAAATTTAGGTTTATCACTGAATTGTATTGAGTTAGTCTGATAGTAGTAGTTTGATAGTATATTGTTGACTGTAAGTTGAAAAAACATCTTTCTTGGCCTCTACATCATATGCCAAAAACGACCGTTCTTATAATATATTAATCACAAAATTGTCCAAATAGGATCCAAACAAGATATAAAGTGGGATGTTCAGATCGCATAAAAAATTAGGGCACTTTTTGCCATCGATCTGAAATAAGGTACAATTAAAACTGCTCTATCATGCACTTGTTGAAATCCATATTACAAACAGTGTAATAATTATATCTAATTGATCAAATAGAAAAAAATCAAAAATGGATCTTAAAAATAATTTACAAGAAAACAGTGCTTATGATTTGGTTAGTTGGCAAGTTCTCGATATTAAAAAAAATATTCCTTTAAATTTATCTAAGAAATTGTAAACTTGGATAATTAAAAATCCAGGAAAACTTATGCACGGCTTTACAGATTTTCGCAATATGTATTTATTAGTCAGCATAGAAGCAGCGAATAAAATAATCGCTATAAAACTGCAGTTAATTTATTCTTTAAGTATAGTTTTTTTTTAATAATTCATTTAAATGATGATTTAATATTGTTGACTCAATTATTATATTGTTTATATTTACTGAAGCTTGAGGCAAAGAGTTCAGTAATAATCTTAATCCTATCGTTGGTTGTTGATGGTGCTATAGATAATTAATTGTGAAAAATATAATATATTAATTAACGCTGCCCACCCTCAAGAGATTTGTTTATTTGGTAAATATATTATTGTCATTATTAATAGAAAACAATTTTAAAAACCGCATTTAGTAGTAGCGTAGTAGAACAACGGCTGGCTAATAGTTTTGGATTTTTTTTCTCTCTTTGCAACAGGCTGTCATGTAGGGGCAAATACGCCATTATACCTCGAGGCTGACTGAAAATGCCAGTTTGCTAATTCCAAAGCCGAGGCGTAATAGAACGCGTCGTTATCCGGAAAAAGCTGTATCAGCGTAACTGGTTTGTTGTTCGATTCGGCAGTCTGATTACAATCGTATTGACCGAAATTTAACGATACGATAATTAAAAAACTGCAATGTGCAGCTTAGTTCCTGTTGATATTTTCGTAAACAACCAAGGGGTGAAAGTAAAAGTTTTTGACTTTTCGACACACATGTATTCACAATCTCACAATATACGGGATATTTTATGTCGTGGGTCTTTTATAAGGCCTCCACGGTAGAAAATTGACAAGGTTTTATAAGCGCTGTACATGATTAAATATAGCCAAGAGCCCCAACTTAAGGATTGTTTATTAACTGATGAAGTCAAAGATTGCAGAACCAAACAGTGTACACGATAATGATAGTAAATAGAAGGAAAATGATTTAAGTGGAAGTCAGCGTGCTAGTGATTCAAGTAACTTTAGTTGGTGATCAGTGTGGGGAGTTCAGCAACTATGTGTACGCGAGCAATTTTAGATCAACCATTCTTTTCTTCTCAGAACCAGAAGTGAAATGAAACAGCACGCATCTTGATTTTCGTTTAATACATCTCTACCACTGCTCATGAGATCTCGGGCTAATAATCAGTCTTAGTTGGAACTTATATATTTTTTACGATGTTCTCAGGAGGCGGAATTTTCTTCCGTTAAACCAAGCTGACCCAGACAAGCTGTACGCTCCTGTTCAAAAATGGTCCTCAAGTAGTTGCATGGGAACACGACGCATTCGCCTTCCTCCCCACTTCCATCTTGCATGACTCCTCTGACGAGTAACGAATTGGAGCACCCGATCAGATACAGGAATGCTAAGCTGATGAGGTGGGACAACGTGCAACTCAGTAAAAGATCACCTGAAAACGAATCCGGCTCACACAAGAGCAAGTGCCGAAAGCTAATCATCTACCTGGAAGAAAGTAAATATTCAGCAAGTTCCAAATCCCGCTCCAGAACAATATAGCCGCGATAATCGAAAGCAGAATGTAAGCGTCTGCCAAAATCACCTTGATGATGCCGGATAAGTCGGTGCAAACTCGTTTCATGCAATTTTGCAGCCGGAACACCAATCCGGTGGCGATCAGACCCAACACCTGCAACACAAAATTGAGCTCTGGGCAGCGCGGTCTGTAGTTCTTACCAAACACGCCCAAGCCGAACATGTAAAATTCTGGGGTATCACCACCAGGTCTACGGCAACCCAAATGGCCCTCCACAGCACCACTACTAGGTTGCCCACCACGCCGACGGAAATGACGCAATCCAGAACACGTAACCACCCGAATTTTATCTGAAAAAATTATCAGTGTGCTCTCAGACACGCGCTGTGTTGTGCATATTACGTTGGGTGAGAACATGGTGGGAAAACGGAACACGTAATTGCGCTTGTCCAGACATAGCGCGAAGGGTGGAGCAATGGCGTTCCTCAGACATCTCATGCAGAGGAGGATTAGAAAAGTAGCAGCCCCGACCAGCAGGCATATTAACGAGGTCTCTTTCGTTGCTTTGAGTTCCTTGGTGAACCGAAGGTTGGTGTAGTACTCCGTAAGCAGCCAGCCTCCTGGAAAATTCAAAAACAGAATTTGGACAGCGTTCAAACTTTTAATTTTCTATGCTTTTTGTAAACATCGCCAAAACTTTTAGCTGCACTAATGTTACATAGTCGTTATAAAGTGCTTTAACATAAGGTTAACAAAAAAATGAAGAAATTGCAGCTTGAACGGTAACCCTTGGCAGTGTTCCATTCACAATGCGGTGTTGCCAAATCCATTCTGAAATTTTACGATTCATTCCTGTATTCGTAATTAAATCTCTACTATATGCTCAGTTGTCTTCGTCACATTCAGAACCTTCTCTTTCTTTTATCTAAACAAGAATAGAAATATACCAGGAGTGGATGTTAATACCGCCAATGCAGGTGTCGCTTTCAGAGCTAAAACAGACTTTTCATGGCACTATTCTCCGTTCACGATTATGGAAACAATTAAGGTTAATTATAATTATTAATTATCGCGTAATTACAGGCAACGCGTATAATATTAAATTGTAAGAACTCGGAATCTATCACCGAGTGAGTACAATTCAAAACACTCATAGTGCCCCATTTAAGGCATTTGCGAAATTGTTATGGAACACATTAAAGGGAGATTAACGTGGCCGTTTATTTTCATAACAGCAGGAAATTTTGCTGCCATAAATTTACTTACCCCTCCAGTGTAACACGGTTACCCATAGAAAGACGTAGGTGTAGAATCTACGTAGAAGATGAGTTACTATTTTCATTGACCAGTGCTTCTTCGATTCGACGACGAGATAATGGAAGCTGTTTTGAAACAGGGCGAACAAAATATGCATCGCGATTGCTGTAACAAAATTATGCAAGATTGTTGATGATATAGTTTTCTCATGGGATCATAATTGTTGTAGTTGCTGTTTATTCTTTTTACATCGAACAAATCGTTTCCAAATCGCTAAATTTCTATGTTTTGGACAAATTTATGCATTTTGAAATTCTACCTAATAAAAATAAGCGTCTGCTTTATATGGTTTTTTATAATTTTTTGCAAATAAATTGAGTGCGTTAAAAAATTGTATATTATCAAAGAAGACATTTAATTTAAGGAATATTTTAAACAGCTTAATAAAACAGGCACTTATTTCTATCGTGGAACTTAAAAAAGCAATGACATACAGATGAATAAATTTGAATCAGCTCTCCTGAAACAATTTGACAATATTTTCAAAGATACATAATACAAAAGAGGAAGTCTTCGGTAGCCTTACAGTTTAGGGACATTATTCGTTGCATTAAAATCACCTTGTTTAATTTTAATTTATTACTACAAAAAGTTTTGGTTTTATTCGTGGTACTTACTTAATGTTGGCATAATATATAATTTTATGGAAAATTGATAACATAGAAATTTGAATATTTGAACATTACGGCTATGTTATTCATATTTTAATGTTTCATGTCTCCAGTAATCAAACAGAAGAGCAATTTTCAAAATCTGAACATCTTAAAACGAACGTTGAGTATTGTCCGTCTCAATTTAAAAAAACCGGATAAAAAAAAGAAGAAGAAGAAACGTAGAAATCAACTGGATGCTATCAGCAGTAAACACCAAATATATGTGCCGCATCAATAAGATCAATTAGAATTTCAGTTAATTGTTACTAATTGACGATAATTACTATGTGGTTTGAGATATGCGTTTTCATGGCGAATTATTGATGACCTTAAAGTGCATAATCGTGTTTTACTATTAGGCAACTAAAAAAATAGACAGCCGGTGCCAGTTTATCTAAAACTCTACGAGAATCGTTCATAAAGATGCTCATAATAGGAGAAGAGTACTTTAATGAACTAGAGAGATTAGATGCCGATAAACGTTATTTACCTTATCTTAATTTTACTATTGTCGAGTTTAACAATGCCCCGTAAAAATCTTAAGGCTAACACAAAAGTGTTCGCATTGTTGAGAATTAAAAAATAATTACTCTTGTTGCTTTTGTTTCTAATGACTTATATTGTTGTGGAATAAAATGTAACCAGCAAGGCAAGATTTTTAAAAGGAATATTAAAAACTGCCGTAATGTAATTCGTTTTAATACAGAGCGTTATAAATACTTGTATTCTAAAAACAGACACGGTAAAAAAAACCTTAATTAGTATATTAAAACGAAAACGATCTTTATTACAAAATTATTAATAGTATAATTAATTGAAATTAGCATTAGCATTGTGTACCAAAAGTGGAGCGAATGCATGTTTGATTGCCTCATAATTGGGAATTTTAGAGTAAGGAGTAGAAAAATTCATTAATTGATGAAACTGATTTTGTTTCAAGCTTCCAAAAGCTCTAGAAAAATTCCTGACATTCTCTTCCGTCCTTCCTTTCTTCATTTATTCCAATACGTTACCGCATTTTAAGAATTAAACTTAACAGAAAAATACTGAGAAGTACTTTTACAAAAACCAGAAATGGACAGGACTGTCTGATTTTTAGAAGTGTCCCGAACTCAGACAGTGTACACTGAAGGAGCCGGGTATAAAATTCATATCTGTTTACCTTAATAAAAATATTTTTTGCCATAATGTACCTACTAAAATTATATTAGGTATTTTTTATTTAACAGTAAAGTTTCAGTGTCAGAATATATGTCGCACTAATTGGATTTTTTCTAAACAAAAAAATTGAAAAAGCAATAAAAAATAATCTGGATGATTTACCAATTAGAAACGTGGGTACAGCGGGAAAATACTCGCTGTGCATATCCACCAATATCCATAATCCCCTCCAACAGCTGACGACTAAAGGGGTGACAACAAACACACTCAAAACAACGTCCACCACACTCAACACGTCGCCGCCAGTCCTTTCTTTCCCGATACGGGGTGGGTTTGTGTTTTCGGCCAGCAGTTTTCTCGAAATGTCATCATTAATTATCATATAATGCTCTTTCGATGTGTTTGGTTCCATTACTCCGGCATCTAGTCAATTCTTACCCGATCTGAATTTTTCTAAATAAATCTGATGCGCGATGATGTATTCCTCGTCAATATTGACACACGTTGTTAGATAGGCATGCATAATTGTACACCAATTATCTCCAATGAGCATTAGGTCTGACATACACTGCGTCTACTAAGATTCGTCTACTAGTCTTTGGTCTAGTATTCAAATTCCTTGCTGCAGCCTTAGTCGAATTCATATAACTTAAATTGGATAGGTAACATATAAGTAACATTAAAATTTGTCTTTATCGGTATAACTTTAGTGATGACGGCGATTAGTAAGTCTCGAGAATTGAAAAACAGTCCCTGATGGGAATTTTGTTTATTTAGTCTCCTATACTAACTCGACGACTAAGAAGGCTCAATCGCGCATAATTTACCGTTGCTGAAATAATTTAGTCTTGAGCAAGAAGGGAAATTTGACTCACACTGAAAACTTAGACATGCTCAATTAAGCAGAAAGAGCAACATAAAAAGTTTTGAGTCTGGTGATGAGTTCGTAAACTTACGGCAAAGCGTGGGTTTATTTGTCTTAGGTTTCGAATTTTGCTGTTACTGCAACAAACCAATATAGTTATAACTTTTACATGCCAACCAACAAAACTCGCAAAATATTGTTGTAAAGGAGATAATGGCAAAAAAGTGCCAGTATCGCAAAGCGTAATGAGGTTACTGCTTACTTGCCTTCACTGGGTGCAATTAAATAATTCCCATTGCCTCGAAACCCAGTAAAGTAAATAATAATTTCGGTTCGGTTCGGCTCGGCACTAAAATACTGGGAGTTCCAAAAAAATTATCATATTTTTAATTGACATTATTTTGGATTTCCTCTTCATCAAATTCCTATTTTAATATATAGCTGTATCTCATGTTAGTATGTGATATTCTGATATGAATACCATAGAGAAAATTAATTAATTACAAGTGTGTAGAGAATATCACAGATTTTTATTGATTATCGTTTTTTTTTTATTTATAATTCTTTAATTTTTTTGTTCCATATAATAAAAATCTTTCAAATAAACATAAGAAAATGCGCATCTGATTTTAATTTTCGTTGAGCAGCTTATTTATCAATTTCATTAAAATTATATGTATATTACCTCTAATAACATATAATTACCAAAATCACGTTCGTAAAACTGCGAAAATATAAACGAATCGTAAGAAACTTTCCGTGGAAATTGGACCGAATATGTGTGCACTACCGTTTGTGTCAAAGGACAAGTGACGAATTACAAAACCAGCGAGTCCCTAACACCGGACAATTTAATTGCTATCGGTCATAGCTTTTCCTTTTTTGAAACTTCAAAAAATCGTTAATTGACTTCCAGTTTGCGCAGGGATGTGATCCATTTGCCAGTAAAACCGAAATTCGTTTCAAATCAGAGAGGAGAATTGGAACATATTTTTCTTGCGCTACGCCTGTCGAAAATTTGAATGTGAATACTAATTATTTCCAACATTTGATAATTCAGTTACATAAATATGATCTTTGTATATGTGTTTTCGTTTATTAGTGTGCCAGATAATAAGCTTTCTCACGTATCAGTAAATATGGTACAATATGTTTTGAGATAGTTGATCAAAGTTATTTTGTTTTTCTTTGTTTTACTTTCTTTGCCATCTAGTAACTTTACTTTCTGCACTTGCAATGCAACAAGTTTTATACAGGTCACATTAAAGGCGAGCGTTTAAAGTAGTTCTTGGAGTAATTTATATGTTTGTTGCATGCTATACGTTTTCCACAACCATTAGTTTTACTCTCAACATGTGACTTAAGTACCGTAAACGTTCAAAGTAGCTAGCAACACGATGATCAGTGCGGGGAGGAGAAAAACTATATTTTGAATTACGTACATACGTTTTTAAAGGTTGTGTAGGTGAACACCAGAAATGCGCATTAAATGTAACCCTCGAGGTTTCCTTTAATTCAATCTGAAAAACCAGAGAGTACTTTTACTTTACTCACTTTTTCTTCAGCATTCAGCGGACCAAGCGCAAATCCAGCGGTTGCAGTTGGGAACGTGTTGGACGTTCGCTGCCAAGTCATTTGCTGTTTCCGTTTTTGATGTATGTGTCACATAGGTGATGTTCAATTCAATTCAATTATGCGTTTCACAAAAAAATGTTGGGCTCGACTGCTAGGATCATTCGCCCATTGCCGACTACCGTCGAGGATTTTCGCTTCTGGTCAATGACCACCACGTACAAAGAAGAAAAATAACCAATAATTTGCTCAGCTAGCAAAAAACGATTCTGACCGATACCAAAAAAATCGGCTTCCCCCCGCTTCCACCGCGGACGGGGAAAAACGACGGGGCCGACGACGATTATCACTTTAAAACGTACACTAAACACTCAAAACACTAAATCCACACCGTGGAAAGCGATATCAAACTTTTAGGGACGAATACAAGGGATTCTGTCGGGAGCGAACGGAGGTTAAACCGCCGCGTGCAATGCTCCACCACAGAATCATAGGTGATGTTAATTTATTTTTGGTTGGGTGTCTATATTTTGATTTTGAGACTTTGGAGAGTATTTTGATTTACTTCATCCGTTAATTGAGTGTTTGTGTGTAATACCGCTAATTTAACAAAATTGCTGTCGAAAAATGGTAGGTGAGCGGGGCAATTTCGCGGCGCGTAGCGCGAAGCAGCTTTGTATTTCAAAAAGAAGCCGCATTTCGGTTTCTCGTCCTAGAGGCATGGCAATTTTTCTGATTCCATCTGTACCAACGGCGTCGCTGTATGACGCACCTTTATCGAGATGTGGAGTTTAATGAGAAGCTCGTATACTTTCGAAAAGAATCGATTTCATCGATTTTTCAACCAATTCGAATGTTTGAGGATAATGAAGATGGTAGGCGTCCAATACCAAGAAATCAGAATTATTATGAAGAGACTATAAGGAGTTATAAAGGAAACTTATTCTTAGAACATTTTCGCATGATGAGACCTACATTTGAGGTATTGATGTATGAAAATATGATTGTAAACTAATAACTAGAAGTCTATAATAGAATTTATCAGTAATTGAAGAAGAATATGGATTTTTAAAGGGCAATTTTCGACTATTAAGATATTTTGGTAAATGTGATCTAGATTTTGAAACTCAAATTATTTGTGGTATTTGTGTTCTTCACAATTTTTTAATTTTAAATTAATTAGTCGAGGAGGAAACAGAGCAGTTGGTAGAAGAGGATTTACCATATCTGAATATTGCACATAATGGTGGAAATGAAAAGAGGAAAGGAGGAATAAAATATATTTTAAAATTGTTACTAATCGTTTTTATTAAGATGTAAATACAGTAATGTGCTTAAGTTACGGAAGAATATAGGAGCAAAACGATTTCTCATGCGTTCATTTAAATAACGTACGTCCACTACTTATCACAAGCAGGCGCACTCAGCGGTACCTGGATGTTATTATTAACCAAGCCAGGGCTTTTTACGGAGGGTTTTCTTACAATGATTGGAGGAAAAAAGATGGAGGGTGGCTCTCAGTGGTTCTGGTGCGAGTTGAGGCAAACCACAAAGGCAACCTCGACTTGAACTGTGCACCATAAAGGGAAAGGAAAAGGGATGTGGCGGAGCACATTGCCGCTTTAAATAACGATGGATCAATCAAAGAAAAGATACCAAGAAATACCGTTATTAGTCTGCTGAAAGGACAAAGAACACTAATGAAATGAGAATACCTTACTGTGCTTGTAACGCAATATAGGCGTCAAAAATTTGATGAAATTTAGTTACGAATTTTCGTTATCTGTATTATCTAGGATATTTAAAAAAAACAGAACGTTGGGTAACTTGAACGATTGAAAATTAGTTCGTCCGCTAGGGGCGCTGATAAATACAGTTCCGGTAATTTCTAGGAAGGTAACTCTTTGTTAGAATTAATTAGAAAGGAGAATTGGAACATTTTTATAGGATATATGGATCATTGCCCGTCATCAAATGTTTATTCTTCTGCTTGAGACGTTGTGTAATTCAAATAAAAAATGCTTTTGATGATTGATAATAATTTCAAGAGACCGTCCTTCAAAAACTTCTGGCGAACAAAAAAAAAACGTGCAGACGATAAAACTACAAGCGTTAAAATGGGGAGAGCGTCGGGCGACGAGGCGACGTTAATTTTCCAAATTCTGTCGACATAAAAGGGTCTTGGAGCCCGGGCAGATTTATGTGTGAATTATTGTGCAGTTGGAACTTGTAACAAAAGGTCATTTTAGTCGAAAGTTTGGTGGGCCATTGTGCGGCGGAACGCCTAACCGAAAACCAGACTCCATGTAAATTGCTCTCGGCTTGTTTTCCGCTGTTTTCCCTAGCATTATTACAAACATAATAAAAATGTCGGCGAAAAGGATCGCCACCGTGCGAACAACAGGGAGTTTTAATCGAGTGATTCTCTTGCCTTTTTTTTGTTCGCGCGCCCTCTTTCGTCGAGTTCTTTTCGTGAAATGAGCGCTGGGATAATCTAAAGATTTGTGAGATGTCTTGGTATTTTTAATACCCCTTTGTCGACGTAGGACGTTTTTATCATCGCACATTTAAGATCGACGCCATTTGGAATTTTGTTTCCATGGATATTATAGTTTTGATGTAAAAGTGAAACAATTTTTTTCATTGGTGAATACGGTTAGTAATGGAGATTGTTCTTTCTCTCGATCATTTATATATGTCAGTGTTGACTATTTTATTTACTGACGTATTCTTACAGAAATTATTTGCCCTTTTTTACTTGATTATCAAATAATATTTTCTATATATGTTTGTATGAAATTAAATTTATAATAATCTTCTTAAAAGCTTTCAAGAAAAGTGCAAAATATTTAAAATGTACCACAACCTCTTATTTTAAAGAAGGATGAAAGATTCAAATGATTTTTCCAAAGTACCAGTTTAATGGATTTGCCCTCAAAAACAAAAACATGGCTCAAAATTGAATTTCATTTCTTTCCATTCATTCGATTCCATCCATTACAAAAAATATAATCAATTAATATAATATAATAATATAACTAATAAAAGATCTGGCACAAGAAATGGTCCTCGCATGCTTTACCTTCGAGATCTAGGAAATTTCAGAAAATTTGCCACTTATGACACTTTACACTCATGGCGTCTTTTTCTTTTACGTAAAGTTCAATGATGTCCTTATATTTTTTGTTTTGTACATAAAATGAGAAAGGGGCATTCTAATCGAATGTTAAATCATCATCAAATACATTGACAGGCTGCAGGCGATCCGGTGGATATTATTTACCTCGATTTCAGCAAAGCCTTCGACAAAGTGCCACATCGACGCTTGTTATTCAAACTTGAAAAGGTTGGAGTGGGCTGGATAGCGGCGTTCTTAAGCCACCGGTCGTTCAGAGTTCGAATTGGTAACGCTTTTTCACTGCCACAAAACGTGCCTAGTGGTGTTCCCCAGGGATCGGTGCTGGGACCAGTGCTATTCCTAGTGTACACCGTGGATTGGCTCTCCAGCATTGATTCTCATGTGAGCGCTTATGCTGATGACACTAAATTATTTGGAAATCTTTCAACACATGCGGACGTATTGCAGAGAGACTTGAATACTATTTCCAAGTGGTGTTCAACTTGGCTATTGCCGCTGAATGCTCAAAAGTGCTCTCTGATGCATGTTGACAAGAACAATCCCGGTTT